AGGAAAAAAAAAAAGGGGGTTTTTTTTAATCCATCCCTGTGAATCAGATGTTTTAGGAGCTGGGTACAGATGCACAAGGTGGCACAGGGCTTACCCCATCCTTGGCTGCCTGCAGCGATCGGGGAGGCTCTGGGGGCCCTTTCTCCGGAGGAAGGAAATTATTTACCCCCCAAACAGCAAGCACAAAACTCTGCAAAAGGTGGAGGGACCTTCTCTTGGGGAGGGCTTGGCTCTCCCCGTGCTCATCTTCTCCCTAAAATCAGAAGGTGACACAGGCTGATAGCAACCTCCCCACAGCCTCTGGTCCAGCCTCCCACCCCTCTCAGGTCCCTTTTGGGCTGGTTTGCTCAGGACCTCATCCTTCCTCACCGCCAAGGCTTCTCCGCATCTCCTGGCAGCCTCCTCCAGCGCCGCCTTCCCTGCAGCGGGCAGCCCAAAGCCAGGCACAGGCTGACCCCAGCTGCAACTCCCCGGGGCTGGAGAGAAGCAGGAGGAGAAACCAGCACCCCAGCTCCCTGCCTGCACCCCTGCAGTTGGCTGCCTCCGCCACCAGAGCCCACTGCTGCTCCACGCTGGGCTCTCCCCAGCACCCAGGGCGAGGGGCACCCAGGCGCAGAGAAGCCACCAAGCCCTCAGCAAACCTCCAACGAGGGGGTCTCTGCCCACCCGCACCCCAAGGCAGAGGTCCCGGTTGGGCTCCGCTGGCTCCCAGCCCGGCCGGGAGGCACCGGGTGATGCTGCAGCTCCCCTCCACCCCCAGCCCCTGCTGATGTTCCGGACGCCTCTCGCTATTTTGCACAATTTTAGGCAAGCCTACAGCATTACAAGCAGATTTCTGCAACCCCAACTGTTTAAAACAACAAATTTCTGCAACAAAACAAAACCAACCCAACCCAAAAAACCCCCCAAACCAAACCACCCCTGCTAAATGCCCCTAGGAGCCACGTGCCTGTGCAGGGGTTATATAGGCGCTTGCCTTGCAGCAGGTGAACCCCCTAATTGGGAGGGAGAGAAAAGGAGGTGCAGGTGCTCCCTAATCAGGACAGCGTTGATGATATGGCAGGGGGGTTTTTTTTTTAAAAAAAAAAAAAAAAAAGCAGCTTCCTAAGACAGCAATCTGGCCTCGAGAAAAGCAACCGACTGCAAAGTCTCTGCCAGCGCCTGCTCGCCGTGTGCTGGGGGCTCCCCTGTGCCACGGGGACGATAAGGAGAGATATTGCTGCTCTGCATTCGTAAAAAGATTATTGTTAAGGAGGGGAAGAAAGTTATAAGTGAAATAAATTGGAACAAGCTCAGCCCTTGAGTAGAGAGCAATGATGTTGTGATCATTTGCGTGCCCAGCCTCTGCCACTCGAGGACCCTAATGCATTTTAGAAAGTCTCTGTAAAGTACCCGTAAGCGGGTAGCGGTAGAGCCGGCCAAGTATAAGAGAGGAGAATCTGTAAAAATGATGCTTTATGGTGTAGGAGGAAGCAATGAGAGTTGAGATGTAACCTCTGGAGGAGAAAGCTGGCAGAAGGTTGTCGCTGGCTTATAGGATCCAGTCTGCTATTATGGGTCGTACAGTGGTGGGTTTTTCCCCTGTGTTTCAGAAGGTTATGGCTAAATAACTGCAAATGAAACGCATGGAAAAAATCCTGAAGGTCAGAACTTCAATACGAAATCTTTCCAGAAAAGATCTCTGGGACTGGGCTGGAAGCATCAGAGCGCGGGACAAAGAGGGGGGAAACTGGAGCCCCCCCAGCACCACCCCTCGCTGCTGCTTTTATTTGCTTTTAGCCTGACAACCTGAAATACCTGAACAAGGGCAAAGCGTGGTGCGACGGTGGGGTTTCCCCAGCTCCTCCACCGTGTAAGTGATAGATCTGGGCCACGGCAGGCTGCAACATAAATCAGACCTTCACGAGTCCCCAGCGGCTGCAAATCAAGGAGTTCTAGTAATAATTACCCATTTTATCTTTCTCTTTATTAATATTTAGACATTTTTAATCTTTTCTTTGCAAACACGGTGTTTGCCTGCTGCGGTTGTCCTTCAGTGGGGAGCTGCTGCCAAAGCTCCTGCTTCTCCGATCAAAGGCTTTGTCTTGAACCAAGCTGCTCCCCGACCCGAAGCGACACAACCACGAAAGCCGGGCGACGACTCTGACGATGCGCCCTGGGCCGGGCGACACCATCTCGGCGCGCAGCCGGTGTCCTCCAGGCACGGTGTGGCCAGCCTGGGTACCACCAGGCAGGTCTCCCCATGGTTCTAAGGGCTGTTCTTAACCTCTTAACCTCACCATGGGTGACCACCTGGGTTATCGCAACCTACGGCCGTCGTTTAAAGAGATGCCCCTGGAAGGTGCTTAGGTCCTCAGGTGGTGCTGCTAGCTCGGGAAGTATAAATGAGAAAATAAGCCCTGTGTTGACTTGAAAAGGGAGGTGGGACTCACACTCGCAGCGATATTTCAGTTGAAAAAAGGCAGACCTTATCTCCTCTAACAGAGGCGTGGGAAAGCTGATAACGCGCTATCACCTCCGGAAAACAAAAGGGGGAAAATATCAAAACAGAAAACACCTTCCCCCCCCCCCCCAAAAAAAAAAAGTAATATAAATTACACTTATTGTAAAGACCAAAAATTTTCCTGCAAGTCCAACCACTACTTAGTTTTCAAGCAAGTGAGAGGAAGGATGCTGGAGCCTCTACCATGCCAGAAACATCTCCAGCACACAGAGGAATGGGTAAAAGACCCCGTTTCTTGTCCAGCAGTGCACAGAGGGATCTGTGCCAGGGATGCAGCTTAGGACGGACACAGATCTGGCTTTTCTCTTCTGGCATGGGGAGGGGAGAGGCTGTATTTTGACTTCTGGGACTACTCAGCAGAATAAATCCTTGCGGGTGATCCCACAGGCTGCGCCCTGGGGCTGTCCTCCGAGCCCACGCCCTGGAGATGGGCTTCCATGTCCAACTTCCACCGAGGGAGGCGAAACTGAGACCAATTTCTTGTCCGAAGAGAAGCCCGGTGCCTCCAGCAGTAGGAATCCTCCCAGGGCTGAGCAGGTCACCACATTCTGCTACCACCAGGAGCCTTACGGGGCTCAGGACGTTTCACCTCTCTGTCTGCTTTCTCTGTGCCACCTCAGCGAGCTTCTGCCCAGGGTGTCAGAGACATCCATCCTGCCATGGCTGGCTACACTGACCCCATCATCTTTCCCTCCTCAGCTGGGACATGCCCTGCTACTTCCAACGCTGAAACCACCCAAGTCCCCAGGTCCCCGAGCAGAGCTTCCCTTGGTAGTGGGACAGCAGACAGCGAGGGTGACAATGAAGATGGCCAGAGTGAAGGTGACCTCAGGTCTCCCCATCCCTGCTCTTTTGCAGAGAGATGCTGCAGGCTCTGCCCAGAGATGCACGGGTTTCTCCACCATCGCCAACACCTCGAGATGTTCAGCAAGGGGTGGCTGACGTGCTCTTACCACCTCTCCTGCCTCTGACACCATGTCACCTCTCTTCTCCCACCCACCTCCACTGGGGAACCAGGCACGTTGTCCTCTGCTGCTGGCTGAAATGCCAGCATGGGTTCGGGTGCTGCCTCCTCTCCTCTGGCTGTTTGCCCTGATGGGCTGAGCCCACCGCCGAGGCTGGCAGGAGGGAGGACAGTGCTTCAGCCCTCCGACGGAGGAAAAGGGGCTGTGGCATGGAAGAAAAGAGGGGCTGGAGGCTTTTCTGTGCCATATAAATGGCACGATGAGGACAACTGTGCATGTGGAAACATCTTTAATCTGGAAAGCAATTCCAGATGATGTGACTTCCAGCTCCTGCCAAAGGGCCAAGCGTCTGCCCAGAGCTCCCCAGCTGAGGCAAGGACCAAGACAACTCTCCTGGGCGCTCCCAGACAGTGTGGGACAGGTAAAACCAGGGCAAAAAAAAACCCAGAAGAGATGCTAATGCTGTTCCACGTAGGCTGACCCAGCCCCAGAGCCTGGGCTGGGGACCCAGCTCTTGCCTGGGGACAGTGGAACCCCCCGGGTTGGACTTTTGGGGGCTGATTATGGGTCCCTTCAGTGACACCCAACCTCCCAGCTGAGCCTACCTGGGGAGAGACACAACCCTGGGGAGCTACAACCTCCCCGCCTGGAAACTGGTGAGTCTGGGCTAAGCTAACAACCCAGTCACTGTTTTTCAGGTGGGACGTGGTCGCTTGAGTCCTGCCCAGGTGGCCCACAGCCTTGTCACAGGTACGTGATCTCGATGACATTGGGCTCAGCGCTGCCACAGGGAAGGTGGTGCTTGCAGGAGCACTGGCAGCTCACGCCAGCCGCATCCGCGCCGGCCGGCTCCCGCTGGCAGGACGGGGCAGCCAGCTTCTTCTGGGAGCCCAGCTTCTTCCAGTCTGTGAGGTGCACCCCATCGTCCAGGTCCTGCGGCATGGGCTCATGGTAGAGGGTGATTTGGATGGTGCGGAGGTGGGGGCCGTAGTGCACCACAATGATGATGAAGACAGCCAGGAGGACAAAGATGACGACGATCACCGAGATCATGGGCAGGGCGTCGGATTTCTTCGTCACGCTCCTGACGACGGAGATGGGAGTGAAGGCGGCCGCCTCCTGGGGCTCGGGCTCTGCCGGGCGCGGAGGCGTTCATGGCTGACCTGGGACAGAGCAGGGGGGGGTGGAAAGGGGTGACCACGGAGCAGAGGCCGGCCGACGTCCTTACCTCCTGCCCCCGAGCCGGCAGCTCCTGCCTGTGCTTGCAGCTGCCGGGGAATGGGACGGTCCCATAAGTGCTCCCTCCCTCGGGCTCACGGGATGGGATAAATTTTGGTGGTTATGCCTGGGGTTGTAGGAGAGTGCCCCGGCCACGTTCAGCCGGGGAGGCGATGCCCTGCGTCCCCTTCTCCTGCGCCCCTTCATCATGGGGCTCTTCCCTCCCTGGTGGGGAGCCCCCCACCCTCCCCTCTTTGCCCCGGGGGGAGAGGAGGGAGGGAGAGCCCTCCCCAGCCCCGCAGGGGTACCTCGGCGTCCCTGCGGCATGGGACTCATCGTCTCCAGCGGCGAGGCTGGGAAGCTGACAGCAGGACCAGCAGAAAAACCTCCGGGATGGTTCTTGGGTGTAGGTGCAGCCAGACTCACCTCGGAAGCCGCCACGTCACGCCTCGGCCCCGCACCCCCCCGGGATTCCCCGGGGCAGAGGAGGAAGCGCCTGCTCATCCCGCGGGCAGGAGAGGTGCTCCCTTACCTCTCCGGGTGCCACATCAGCACCACCACCCCCTCCCTCGCTGTCACGCACCCTTGCCGGAAAAAAAAACCCTCCTCTTGCCCGCCGCAAGACAAGCGCCCTTTTGTTCGGGGAGAAAGCGCCTACCACCCTTTTGGCCGCACACATGCAACCCCCGGCCGCCTAACTGCAGGAAACCTCCCTCCTCCACCTCCTCGGCGTTAAAATTTAACGCGGTTAAGAAATCGCTGTAAAAAAAATTCACCCTTCTGCATGTGAGCCCTTTGCACAGCCCAGCAAAGTGTACCCACACAACGCTCCGGGCTGGAAGGACCCTCGCCCCGAGAGGTGATGCAGCCCCAGGGTTGATTTTTCTCTGCCGGGGGGTCCCACGGCTGCAGAAGGACCATGCATCAGCGCTGCTATGGCCAGCAGCGGCGTGAGTCCGCGGCAGAGCTCTGGACCCTGGGACCTGCT